GCCTGCTGTGCGCAGTCCCACCATCCCTATCACAGAAACATGCAAACTGAACTTCGCGGCTGAATCTAGATCATGCGCGGGCACCCCGCGATCACCTGGCATAGGTTTTTTGACAAGGACGGCGGGGGTGCTGGCATATTGCCTGCTGTGTGAAGGACCGCTGGGCATCATGATGGCCACTCCGCCGCGATTGTGCACTGGTTTTCGACAAGGATGGTGGGTGCCGACTTGTTTCCCGATGTGCGCGGGCGCACCTGGCACACTCTGCACGTGCCCTGCACGTGGCGCACGTGGCGCGCGGCTGGAGCATGCGGCACACTTGGCGCACCTCGCCCCAGCGTCGCGCACCTGGGGCCTGATCCGTTCCCAGTAGATGCCCAGTCAAAGACGGCCCTTGACTGTGCTGAGACTTGGGTGCTACTTAGTGTTGGGAGGGCGGGTGGGAGTGAGCCAAACAGTTTGTGACGGGGAGAAATGTCTTGATCCCCCCCCTATCCCCTCCCATATCGCATCCCTTTGGGTCTGGATGGCGGGGGGGGCGTGCCGCGTTGGAGCGTGCAAGATGACTCCAAGAGGGCCACAATCAGCTCAGGATGATCTGCAAGATGGCTCAATATAGCGCAATGTCGCTCAAGGTGGCTTCCAACATGCTCCGAAGGGTCCTACGGCCGCTCCAAGACGGCTCCAAGTGGCCACGGAGCTTCCCAAGGATGCCCCCAAGAGGCCAAGGCCCATCCAACAACTAAGGGACATCAATGCTTGTTGCCGTCTTGCGTTCTCGCTGCCGATGGGCTCTGGGGGGCCACAGTGCTCCTTAACTATGGCCCACGAGGGCCCCCAGAAAGAGGGGCCCAAGAGGGCTCCAAGACGACCCCGAGAGCGCCCCAAGAAACGAGTGAAGGAGCTATCGAGGGGCGGGCTCTTAAGTAACGCCCTTCTTGGATCGATGTCCTCCTACATGACCCCAAGAGGGCGCCCAAGGCCCCCAAGAGGACCCACATAGACCTTAAGAGAGCTCCAAGATAGCTCCAAGAAGGCTCTTGTCCTCCAAGACGGCACCACAAGCTTCCAAGCATGGCCCCGACCGGGCACGATATAGCGCATATAAGATGCCAGGAACCTCCCACGTCGAAACATCCATGACGGTAATTCATGGTTTCCTAGGCCTGCTCAGGCAGGTATGGATCTTCTGTTTGACTGCTGACTCCCCTCTTTGTTCCACCGGGTGCTCCCGCACCTCACTGGTGAATGCAACTCGCCTGCGCGTAGTTGCTGGATGGGCTAGTGGGGATACGCGACGCGCCAAGAATTCCGAATTTGATGCAGCAGCAGTAAGCCTGCTCGATACCCAGCGGTCTACACTGTCGATGTACATGCATCGACCAAAAACATGTTCGACCCCCCACCTAGCCCACAACATCTACGTCAGAACGGCAGCAACAGCCAAACACCGTGTTCGACCCCATTGGCCTAACATTCTACGTCAAAATAACATCAGCCGTGATGAGCATGTTCGATACTTCCCCTGGTCTGCATATTCGACGTAATGACTAGCGCAATGCGCTTGTTCGACACCACCCTCCTCTGGCCTAACATGTCGCTGCCCTACGTACTGATAGCAAACTCATGCGCCAGACGCATGATACTTCCGCTGCCGAGGACCCCCCATACTCATATTATGTTTGGAATGGTGGTAGCTGAGATGAAACATGCGAGAATGATGCTGGTGGCCGTTGCCCCGCCGATGCCGTAGGTGACGCCGGTCAAGCCTTTGGGAGACTGACACGCTGTGCAAACAACAACCTGAGCCATGGCGACCACGGAGGAAAGTGGGGCTGTAGGTCGGCAGGCGGACGGCGCACGAGTCTAGACGCACGTCGACTGGGGCGTATAGAAACCGCGGTGAAAGACCACCCACTGCGCACCCCCTATGGTGTCGAGAAAGTGCCACGCCTGCTGTGCCTGGCTGACTGGGGCGTATAAGACCGCGGTGAGAGACCACCCCTTGCGCACTCCCAATGATGTCGAGAAAACGCCACGCCTGCTGTGCCTGGACGATTGGGGGGTATTGAAACCGTGGTGAGAGACCACCCCCTTCGCACCCCCTATGGTGTCGAGAAAACGCCACGCCTGCTGTGGCTGGACGATTGGGGCGTATAGAGACCGCGGTGAGAGACCACCCCCTGCGCACTCCCTATGGTGTCGAGAAGACGCCACGCCTGCTGTGTCTGGGCGACTGGGGCGTATAGGGACCGCCGTGAGAGGACCCCCCCCGCGCACCCCCCATTGTGTCGAGAAAATGCCACGCCTGCTGTGCATGGACGACTGGGGCGTACAGAAACCGCGATGAGAGACGTTCCCCTGCGCAACCCCTATGGTGTCGAGAAACTGCCACGCCTGCCACGCATTGCGAGCCCGAAACGGACAGGGAGACCACCCCCAGCGCACCCTCTGTGGTGTCGTGGAAGTGCAACGCCTGCCACGCATTGCGAGCCCGGAACGGATGGGGAGACCCCCCCCAGCGCACTGCCTGCGGTGTCGAGGAAGTGCCACGCCTGCCACGCCTTGCGAGCCCGAAGCGGACAGGAAGACCACCCCCAGTGCACTCCCTTTGGTGTCGAGGAAGTGCCACGCCTGCCACGCTTTGCGAGCCCGAAACGGATAGGGAGACCACCCACAGCGCACTGCCTGCGGTGTCGAGGAAGTGCCACGCCTGCCACGCTTTGCGAGCCCAAAACGGATAGGGAAACCACCTCCAGCGTACTCCCTGTGGTGTCGAGGAAGTGCCACGCCTGCCACGTCCTGCGAATCTTGCGCGTCTGTGTTGTGTGGTGTGCGTGTCATGTGTCTGATGCGTGTGCGGCTGTATCTGGACGTGTGTCTCATGTGGGTGTCCAGTATGCAGCGCATGCGTCGTGGGTGTATGATGCAGTGAACACGCCATGTGTGCACTGGCGTTGTTGGAGTGAATGCATGTGTGCGCGTGTGTGCGTGTGTGTTCGCGTGTGTCTGTGCGCGCGCGCGCGTGTGTGTGTGTGTGTGTGTGTGTGTGTGTGTGTGTGTGTGTGTGTGTGTGTGTGTGTGTGTGTGTGTGTGAGCGTGTGCATGCGTGCGGTTGTATGTAGAGGCGTGTCTCATGTCGGTGCCGTGCATGTGTTGCGCGCGGGTGAGGAGAGGAAGAGGAGGAGGGGAAGAGGGAGGTGGGAGGAGTCGCGGGTGCGACGCGGGTGGGAAGAAAACCCTATCCCCACGAAACATGTGGGGAACAACTTGCACGTGTAACCCCCCTTTCGCGCACGTGTATTCCTGCACTCAAAGAATCCGCCAGCCGCTGCTGGACCAGCCCTTCTGGTGTGGGGCGAACGGCCCACAGGACAAATATAACCCCAGCCTGGAACCCAGATCAGGACAGGATGAGGGGCATACCATCGAAACGTGGCCACCAGAACTCAGGAGGGGAAAAAACACAGACACAACTAATCGTCGACTCCCAGGCAAATATGGGAAAATATGGGAAGTGGAGGGGAAGACGAAAATCCAGAACATGTTGAAAAATATTGGGAACCCTGGGATTTGTGTATATTTATTTGTGTGTCCTTGGGCCCCTTGCAGAACGTAGGTCAAGAACACGCGCCCCTTCGCCGAGGACCCCAGGCGGCAAGCAGACACCCACAGCGAAGATACGCACTCTGAGGCCGAGAGCCCGAGCACCCAGAGCAGACGCGGTCACCACTCCAACGTCCATGGGCTGCTCTTGACTTGGCGGCGTGCTGTCTCGAGCTGGGCCGACCCGTGAGGGCCCCAGGGGAGGGGCAGCGCCCAGCCGACTGGAGGGAGGAGCGAGGTCGGCCGCGGAGCCGTGGGCAGCGGCGTGCTCGGGGGCCTGCAGCTCCGCTGCCTCCTCCGGCGCCAGCGCGGGGCCCCGGCCGGACGCGGCGGCGACGCCGCGGTGCTCCTGGGGCTCGGGAAGCCCGCTGCCTGCGGTGCTGCTGCTGCTGCTGCTGCTGCTGCTGCTGCTGCTGCTGCCGCTCTCAAGGCGAGGGCGGGATGAGGTCAAACTCGGACGAGGTTGGAGGGGTTCGAGGTTCGAGGCTCTGGGACGCTTTCGTCGGTTCTCGGCGGCTTTCCAGCCTCGGGGTGCTCTCTAGCAGCTGCGCCTGGCCTGGGGGTGCCCAATTCGTCTCGAACGGCCGCCTGAGGCCCAGGCTGTGGACACAACACCAGCCGGCGTGCCCTGGCGGGAAGTCGGGACTCTCTGAGAGCTGGCGAACCTGGAGGCCACATCGGGTGCCGCGGCCAGTACAGAGCAGGGGCAGGCCCCGCCTACAGGACTCTGCGGCCCAGGTTAAATCCGATTATGACATTGATCGTTCAAAACCAGAGGAGCCGCAAGCGTCATGCGGCTGACTATGAGATTATGTTTGGTAAAATCTATACATGGTTTGCTCCAAATGCGGGCGGATAGCGGGAGAGCCATATGCCGGTGGTTTGTTTACACACTGCGCTAGGAGTTTCAGCAATGACCGCACTAAATCCCACTGGGCGCGCTTCACGCGCCATCAGCACCCCAGCTACGCCACAGGGCCTGGCAAGGCGCTTGTGGACCCCATGGCACATTTCGCCTAGCGCCAGGCTCACGAGGGTGGCGGTGGCTTGCGGGAGAGGATCCTTGCCAATTTTTCATGTCACGTGCAGGTCCCCCTCCTCCTCCTCCTCCTCCTCCTCCTCCTCCTCCTCCTCCTCCTCCTCCTCCTCCTCCTCCTCCTCCCCCTCCCCCTCCTCCGCTCCTCCTCCTCCTCCTCCTCCTCCTCCTCCTCTCCTCCTCCTCCTCCTCCTCCTCCTTCCTGTGGCCCTGGATGTGTCTCCCAGGGGCGGCGTGGATGCGGCTGGGGCGATCCGCCCTAGCCGCCACTCCCCTGCGCGGCGAGGGGTTAGGCCGCAGCGGCAGCGGGCAGCGCCCGACGCGACGAAGGGAGCTGCTGACGTAACTACGTGGGGTACTACGCGGAGTACTCCCTGCACGGCGCCTGTGGCCCTGGAGGTATCTCCCAGGGGCGGCGCGGAGGCGGCTGGGGCGATCCGCCCTAGCCGCCTGACCCCCTGCGCGGCGAGGGGTTAGGCCGCAGCGGCTACGGGCAGCGCCCGACGGGACGCAGGCGCCGAGCGCCGAGCTGGCGACGCCGCTAGCTCCCGCGCTGAGTGCCCGCGGCCGCGGGCGCTCGGGCGCGGCGGCCCCCGAGGGGGCGACCCGCGACCGCGGGAGTGTCTCTCTCTCTCTCTCTCTCCTCCTCCTCCCCTCCCTCCGCCTCCTCGCGTCCTCCTCCTCCTTCCTTCCTCCCTCCCCCTCCTCCTCCTCCCTCCCCCTCCTCCTCCTGCTCCTCCTCCCTCTCCTCCTTCTCCCCCTCCTCCCCGTCCTCCTCCACCTCCTCCCTGTCGCACCCCCATGGGTGTCGGTAGGACAGGTCGGGCGTTTGGCCTGACAATTTCTCACCACTTTTGATCACGAAACTTGAAGCGTACAACAGTTTCACGGATGGAAAGCGGATCCTTTTCAGACTGTGGCTTTCGCTGTAGCGCCGCACACATTCGTTTTAAGAGTCTGCAGCTGTTTCAAAGACGGATGGCGGGTCTTGTTCAAAATGTGGCTCTCGCCTTAGCGCCGCGCACATTCGTCTCGAGTTTACAGCAGTTGCACTGGTTGAGGGCGGGCCATTTTCAAATCGTGGCTCTCGCCTCAGCGCCGCGAACATTAGTCTTAAAAGTCAGCAGCGGTTTCACGGATGGAGGGCGGATTCTTTTCAAAATGTGGCTCTCGCCAAAGCGCCGCGCACATCCGTTTTCAAATTTCCAACAATTATCATGATTCGTATAGTCGACTTCCCAGGAAAAGCGTTCTGGCACGAGTTGGGAATGTCAGGACGCAGCCGCGCTGTTGATTCATGTGGTGCTGAAGTCCCAGGAATGGTGCTCTGGCACGACTTAAGATTGTCAGGGCGCAACAGTCACGTTAATTCGCGGAGTTGAAATCCCAGGAACGGTGTTTTGGCACGATTGAGGATTCTCGGACGTTGTCTTCCAATGGGGCGCTTCCCGCAATGAATATGAATTCTTACTGGGACCTACGAAGAGGGAACTTGGAGGGTAGGTTTATTGCAACATGGTCGACGCGTCATGGGTTTGCACGGGTCCTCCTCCTCCTCCTCCTCCTCCTCCTCCTCCTCCTCCTCCTCCTCCTCCTCCTCCTCCTCCTCCTCCCCCTCCCCCTCCTCCTCCTCCTCCCCTCCTCCCCTCCTCGCTCTGTGCAGGGAGAGGGCAGGACCGCACCACTGCGTGAATTCCCCATCCCGGCTCCAGGCGGTGGGTGTGGCAGCAGCGGGGCGCGGTCCACACCTCGCTCTCCGCCGCCAGAGGGCCGTCGGCAACTGGGGCACCGGCCGCAACCGAGGCGCTACCGGGCGCGGCCGCGGGCGCGGGCGCGGCCGTGGCATCGGCGGCATCGGGGGCAGCCGAGGTGCCGGCGGGTGCGGGAGCTGCTGCCACGATGGACGCGCGGGGAGGGAGGCCAGGAAGGCACGCAGGCATGAAACTCGGAGGCGGCGCGGTGCCCTCTGCACCCTGGCCCCTCGGCGTTCTTCGCGACCCTAGGGGTGGGGTGGGGAGGGGGTCTGGAGGCTGTCCGCGGATGTCCGAAGTCTCGGAGGCTCGTTGAGGAGGGGCAGTAAACGGGGAGCGAAGAAGCGTGCGCCTTTCCAGCACCTTTTGAGCCCGCGGTGGCAGTTGAGGGGCCATGTAGGGCCCCTTTGGGCCCACTTTTCTGCAATCCCTGTTTCCCCCCAGGGTTCAATGCACCCCCGCTGTCGTCCGCCCGAGGGTCTATGCTTACGTGCTTTTGCGGCCTCCCATGGTGGTGGCGATCGCAGATGCGCTGGCGCAGGCGGGGGACGCTGCTGCGACAGGCGCGCTGCCGGCAGCGTCGGTCGATGTGCTGGCCGCAGCGCTTGGCGCTGCTGCGGCGGCCGGGCCGCCCACCATGCCAGCCGAGGCGCAAGCGGCGGGCGGTACTGCTGCAGCACACGGGCCGCTGGCCGCTCCGACCGCTCTGACGGCAGCAAGCACGCTGCCTGTTGCGTCAACCGCGGCGCCGGCAGCGGCTGGGGGCGCCTCCGCTTCAAGCGCGCTGCTGCTGGCGGCACCGTCGGCGGCTGCCACGGTGCTGGCGGCAGCGGCGGCGGGGAGTGCCACTGTAGCAGGCCTGCCGCATGCGGCTTCCTCCGTGTGGCCACCGCCGCCGCCGCCGCCGCCAGCGGCGGCTTCGATGGCGGCGTCAACGCGCGCCGCGACATCGTTGCTGAAGGCGTGCTGCTGCCTCTCAGCGATCGCCCCGACGGCTCGCTCAAGGGCGCCTGGCGACGTGTCGCCTGCCGCGAGCCCCAGCGCCTCCAGCGCCAAGCACGGCTGTCCCCCCAGCCACGGGGAGATGTCGTACAGCACACGGCTCGCGAGCGCCATGTCGAAGTCGCCAGCCGCGGTGTGCCCTGCGCCTCCGTCCGCTGCGCGGTCGCCGGGCTGGCGGTAGCGCTCTAGCGCCACGCGCAGCACGGCCTCCGCGCGGAGGGCGCTGCCGCCCGCCAGCGACAGCGCCTGCTCGGCGTGCTCTGGCAGGACGCCCCGCGCGAGGAGCTCGTGACGCGCCGCCTCCGCTCGGCACTCTGCGGCCTGGGCGGCGCCTGCGCGGCGCCTCGCCGCCTCTGCGCGGGCCAGTGGCAGCAGCTCTGCCCGTCGCTCTGGCCCGCCCAGCCTGCGCCGGCGCTTGCGCGCGCCCTCGCGCTCCTCGTGCCGGGGCGCCTCGCCGAGCAGGGACAGCAGCCGCTCGTCGAGCTCCGGCAGGGCCCGCAGGGCGGCGCCGAGCTCGGCGGAGGGCGGGGCTCTGGCCAGCAGCGCGCCCAGGTGCCAGTCGCTGGGGAAACCGTGGTGCGGGTCGCACAGGAGGTCTCTCTGGGCCGAGGCCCCGCAGACGGACGAGGCGTCCTTGGGCGTTGCTTACAATGGGAGGGCGACCAGCGCGGGGGCGAAGACACGTGCACCTTGCGTGCCCCTTTTGGTCCCCAGGGGGCCCCTGCAAGGCCCTTGAGGTGCGCAAAGGGTGCACCATCTCGCTCGCCCCCCCCCGATGTATCGCCCCTCCACTGCGCGACGCCCGGCGTCCAGCAGGGCCGCCACGGCTGGGTCGCGCAGGGCCCCCTGTGCGGGTGCGTGCGGCACCGCCCCAGGGAAGAAGTAGACGGACCCCAGCTGCATCCCGAAGCTGCCCTCGTCCACGGTGCAGAAGGGGCTCCCGCCGCCGGCCGCGAGCAGCTCCGTCGGCCACTCGACGCTCCCGACCTCCAGCCGACACACCTCGCCCGTGGAGATGAGCCACAGGAAGTTGCGGCCGCCGAAGCCCGGGTCGCGGATCGAGCAGCGAGTGCCGCGGCGCGGATCGCGCTGGCCCCCCGCCCCCGGGTGGCAGACTGGGAGCAGGGGGCCGAGCCGGTTGACGAACTCCCTCGGGTGCTCGCGCGCGTGGAGGCTGGAAGAATCGACATCGGCGTGAGCATGCACTTTCGGAGGTCCGTGCAGATTTCTTGCATCGGCGCTGGAGCCCTGGGGGGCGCCGCTGGCGCCGCCCCTGGCGCGCTCCGCGCGCCAGGGGGTGGGGGGCCACCGCGCCGACCCGAGAAATCAGCACAGTCAACTCTGGAAGGTTGTGCCTGTGCCGATTTGTCTTCTTCGAGAAGAGGATGCCCAGGTCGGCGCCCGCCCCTCGGGCCGGAGGAAAGGGGTTCGATTAGCAGATGGGGGGTTAGCGACTCAGCTGTCTGCCCGGCGCCTCCCAGCGTCAGAGGCGCCACTGTGTCGAGGAACGCGGCAGGCGGCGGGGCCGAAACCAGCTTAGAGCAGCAAGTTTCGTACCCCCCCTTTCCCTACCTTGAGATGCGACGTCACAACTGATTTGCAACACTGTCAAAAGACTCGACTGGACCCCATCTTACTGCGCCAGTTGTCGAAACGGGTCTCTCCGTGAGGGCCCCGGGGCCCGACGCACGGCAAAATCGCCCGTTGTAAAAGCATGCGGCGCCAGGATCTCAAGGTATCCCCCCCCATTTTCGGGGGTTGCAACAGGTGCCCCTGGCCCAAGGTGCCCCCAGCTTTTCGCCCAATTCTGGAGCCCCTGGGGCCCATTGGGCCTCGTTCTCTGGAGGCCGTGGGGGGGGGGGTCCTTGGCAATCCTGGGGGCACTTTGGGCCAGAGGCACTTCTGGCAACACCCGACCCTTTCGCCCGACCCGAGTCCCAGCGATCCGATGTCGTGATTTTTTTAATGCGGGGTCCCCAGAATTCTCGACCCACTGCCCAGGACCAGTTTCTCATTTTGAGTCGTTTGTTGACAGTCCTGGGGCCCGGCGAGGGCCCCCAGAGGCCGAAAATCGAGAAAAACCTCCGTCCTGATTTTTCCAATGCGTTGGATCTCTGGGGTCTCCCCCGCTGGCGTGGCCGTCGCCGCGGAACGCCACCAGGTGCCCGTGGTACAGGTCCCAGCCGCACAGGCGCAGCCCCGCCTCTGCCGCCAGGCGCGCGAAGAGCCGCGCGACGAAGGCGGCCGCCTCCGGGGACGCGAAGCGCAGGGCCCGCTCGACGCCGGTGTAGGGCGTCAGCTCCTCAGGAGGAGGAGGAGGAGGAGGAGGGGGAGGAGGAGGAGGAGGAGGAGGAGGAGGAGGGAAGGCGGAGGGCGGAGGGCGGAGGGCAGAGGACTGAGAGCGGAGGCGGGAGAGAGGAGGAGGAGGAAGGAGGAGGACCCTGAGATCCAACTTTTTCGAGCCGGGCGTTTTCGCTCAATTCTGGGCCCAAGGGCCTTCACAGATCGATGCCGCTCGAAAAGTGACGCAGTAAGATATAGGGTCCGGGGGTCCGGTCGTGATGTTTGACGATGTTGCAAGGTCTTCTGCGACGCCAGGTCTCCGGGGAGGGCCAGTGCAGACAGCAGCAAGTCGTGACAACAAACGGCGGGCTTCGAATGCTTCGGGCACTTTTTGGCGCCCGGCATGGTTCGCAGCAGCTGCGCCTCGTCACGGGCCAGTCGAGACAACGGCGGCCCTCCCTGCCGATTTTCGCTCTCTTTGGGGCCTCCTGGAGGCTTCTCGTCGCCACGGCTGGATCTGCCTCGACAAACAAATCAGGATGGACCCCAGGAAGGGTTTTGGTGGCTTCCCGTTCGGCCCAAATCCACTCCTCTCCCGTGGCCCATGCTTAAAACGTTTTTCGGGGCAGGTGCAGCCGTGGCGACGAGCTGTCTCCAAGATGCCCCCAAACTGATGAAACAAACGCCAGGGAGTCTCGCCGTCGTCTCGTCGGGCCCTCCTCTGGGAACCCTGGAGGACTGGATCCTTTCCTTGGGACCCGTGTCTCACCCCGAGTCGTTTTGGACGGTCCTGGGGCCTGGTTAGGGCTCGCAGAAACGAGCAACATGCACAACCCTTCTGGCGCGTGCTTTCCCAACTCTGCCCCGGCGTCACTCGGACGCGCGTGCGGATGGCCTCGGCCGCGCTGCGAGGGACAAAGTTTTCCAAGCTCTCCCTCTGGTTGGGTGGTAGTCTTGAAACTCTGAATTCGTCGGCTACACGCAAGAGTGACCCTGGGTAAGAGTGACCTTTGGTGCGCGGCTTTTTTGGGGCCGCGTGGGGGGCCAGATACAAGTGCGCAGGACGCTACGAACGCATCGCGATCGGCGATTGGGGGGCCCCAATGGGCCCGCACCAAAGGTCACTCCTGCGAGGGGTCACTCTTACGCGTAGTCGAACTCAGCGCTGCGGCCTCCGCCCTGGCACTCCCGAGCAGCGGTGCGAAAGGCTCCGTCAGGCGCAGCCCCTCTCTTTGGGAGCGACCGCCGTTCGGGCCCATGCCGAGCAGCGGCTGCTCCCAGCCAAGCTTCGCTCCTCCTTCTCCTCCTCCTCCTCCTCCTCCTCCTCCTCCTCCTCCTCCTCCTCCTCCCTCCCCCTCTTCGAGCGGAGCACCGATCGCGCGTCCTCCTCCTCCTCCTTCTCCTCCACTTGCTCCTCCTCCTCCTCCTTCTCCTCCTCCTCCTCCTCCTCCTCCTCCTCCTCCTCCTCCTCCTCCTCCTCCTCCTCCTCCTCCTCCTCCCCCTCCTCGTCCTCCTCCTCGTCCTCCTTCTCCTGCCTCACTGCGGGGCTGCGAACTGCGCAAGTGTCGCCACGTGCGTGTTCTCCTGGGAGGTCCCACGGAGTGACGTCTTACACGCACCCAGACAAGATCTCGCGGCTCCCTCACGGCTCCCTGTGGAGCCGCGATCAGCGCAGCTGTTGTCACTTTCGTGGGCTCCTGAGAGATCCAGCGGGGTGACACGTCATCCGCGCACCCAGACTGGACCTCGCGGTTCCCGAGGGGGACTGCCCTTTGCGCAACTCTCGCCACTTTCGTGTGCTTCTGGGGGGGTCCAGCAGAGTGCCGTCCTACGCGCACCCAAGCTAGACCTCGCGGCTCCCTGAGGGGCTGCGGATTGCGCAACCGTCGCCACCTTTTGCACCTCAGTCGCCGTAGTTGGGTGTTGAAGGCGGTCGGGACATCCCCCCGAGCAGCGCAACATGTGGCATAGCCTGGGCCGTCGCAGACCACGGGGAGGCGAACACAAAGGCCCAGGACGGCGCAGGCGCAAGTCGAGGCCAGGACAGAACAGTGATCCAATAGGTGCTCGGTTCGGTTCACTGCTCCAGGGCCCCACTGCCAGACACGAAACGGTTACTTGCGCAACCGTCGCCACTTTCGTGGGCTCCTGGGGATCCAGCGGACTGACGTACTAGCAGGCCACTCTGCATTTAATCTGGAGTTTCTGTATCTAGAAGAAGGGGCGTACGCCTGTGCTCGACGACGATGGCGAAAATGAGCGGCGGCGGTGATGCGGCGGGTGAGGATCAGGAAGGTGAGGATCAGGAGTGTGAGGTTCACGAGGATGATGATCAGACGACTGATGGGGGCGCGCCCGGTGGCACCCATATTGTACCTCACGGCTCCCTGCAGGTGCTGCCTTCTGCGCAACGCAACGGTCGCCACGTTCGGGGTTTCTGCGAGGTCCAGCGCCATGGCGTCATACGCGCACCCAAGCTAGACTTCGCGGCTCCCTGGGGGGTGCTGCCACTTGCGCATCTGTCGCCACTTCCATGAGCTGCTGGGAGGTCCAGTGCAGTGGTGGTATGCGCATAACACCACTGAGCTGGCATGCTCTAAAGTACTGCGTCGTTCAACTACGCCCTGTGAGTCGTGGAACGCGTACGCCCCCATGTAGCTGTCATAGCACAGTGCGTCTCTTGCCATGTTACCGCTCGCACAAAGCGGGCCCTGTGACACAGCCATTTGTTTCAGATGGGTCGGGTACGCCATGGGTTGGGTACGTTCGGGGTGGTTTAGTTCGCAACGGGACGAAGCCCATACCTGATGAGCAACCACCATGGAGGGCCGCCGTTGTCTCGACTGGCCCTCCTCCGATCGTCCGTCCTGTCTCCTCCGTCCTTCCGCGTCCCTCACCCGTCCTCCTCCACATCCTTCGTCTGTTCCTGCCTGCGGACGAGGGAGCGCGGGGGGAGAGGAGGAGGAGGAGGAGGAGGAAGGGGGGACTCTGCTGGACTTTGCTGAGCGCCGCGACGCATATACTCGTCCAAGGGGTCGGGCAAGACCCCCTGCGCCCCCGACACAGGAGTTCCTCCCCCCTGGGCGTCAGGGGCTGGGCGAGAGCGGCTCACATACTCCTCCGTCTGAGCCGCCATCGCAGACGCTGGTGGACCACGATAGCTGGGGGACAGCCCGTTCTGAAGTCTTCGCAAATTCTCCCCCCCTTTCCTCGTGGTGGTGGGGGGACACACGCATGCAAGGTGTCCGGCATCGGCAGTGGCCGTTCGGCCACAACTCATACAAAAAACAATCCAGATGCCTTCATCTTCGCGAGGCGGTGGCTGGGGTGCAAGGCCACCCCACCAACGCACGCCTGTCCCGGGATCGCCTTGAAACCCTCGCCATCCTCAGCAGGTAACCCCAGCGTCCTCTCCGAGCCCAGCGGCGGGGCGAAGGGCAAATCACTGCATCGGGCCGAGGCGGCTTTGAGCAGCTTGTTCCTCGGGATAATATCTCTACACTGCTTGCACCTCCAACGGCCGGCACACGGAACGAAATCATGAGCACTCGACCGCCAGACAGCGTCCAACCGAGAAGGCTTACGCGGTTGCTTGACGCTGCCAGGTCGCTCGCCGATCCACGGCTCAACTTCGAGCGCCATCAGCAGCGCGCGTCGGGCAAGGTGTGTGGAAGGGGCAGGGGGCGACACGCACCAGTCCCAGGCCCACTGGGCCGCGGTGCCAGCCCAGACGTCGGCACTGGCGTTGCCCAAACTCAAAAACAGCTCGAAGTCCGTCTTGATCGACTGTAGCTCGTCCTCCCTGTGCGAGGGGGCCCATAAAACAAACTACTTCCCAGGGCCACGGGTTCCCAAAGCACGCCCAACACGGACCCAAAGGTCTCAATTCTGGCCCCGAGGAAACTCGGCACGACCACTGTGCCAATCAGAAACTAAACTCTTACAAGCGGTCACGTAGCACACTGGGCCCGGAGAACACTCGATAGCTAAGCGCAGTGCCTGTATTGCAGTTCGCGGCACCGTCTGCTTCCTGCCTACAAGGGCCTGGGCGACCCCGCACACAGGGCTCCAGAACGGCGACGAGGGATCCTGGCGCATCGCAACAACTGCTGAGCCGCACCTCCTTCTTCTAGGATCTGAACTGCGTTCGCCTCCTGAGCCGCCCCCGAA